CTTTAAAGTGTCTACCGGATTCTTTACAGCTTAAGAGGTAAACTGTTTTATCTCGAAATCTGGCAATTCAGTTCGTAGCAACAATTAATGACTGTTTTCCAGTACTTCATGTACTTCTAATGTTGTGCCATGTCTCCTTGAAAAGCTGATGATAAATGAGCATACACATGCCATTTAAATGGCTTATGAATCATGGCTAAAATAGCCCATTGACTCCAGTATTGATATTTATAGACGTATTAAAAATAATTAGAAGATAGGGCTACTAACTACTGGTTTATATATCTATGTATAAGCTAATAAATTCCCAGCTAGTCAGCCAGATAGTAATACATAAATTTTTAATTAAATAAACAAGTGATATTTTCTTTTGTCTGAGGCCAAGAAAGCCGACAGCGTGTGCGGGCTCGGTGTCTCTGATGTGCATAGCAAGAGTTTAGATGCTTGCTATATGCTTTCCATATAGATAGATTAATTAATCGTAGCAGCTGGCAGGGCAAGCGAACGAGTCATTCCATGCACTTTGTACCCTAAGCACTGCAAAGCGGATATCCATACTTATCAAAAGGTAATGCCATTGCCAATGAAGAATTTTGCGAAGTTTCTTGGCGAGCGAAAACTGATGTGGAAATTTAGTTTTGGTTGTCAAATTAAACGCGTTGGTTGTGCTCCTTAATTGTGGGATATATCCTTGCGAAAGCGTTTAGAGGTGAGTGAGGAAGTGAACACATAATGGGATACTCTATTGAACTACTAATGAAGTGATATTGAAATCAAGTGATGTGTGATTTTGTGCTTAATGAGCGCCTTAATGGCTTTCCTGCTGTGCATTCGAAAGCTTCTCGCAAAACTGTAAACAAAGTCATTAGGCGCTGGGATATAGCTCCCATTGAAATGAAATAATTCTATGTTTGGGTTTTTCGCGCATGACTTTTTTTAAAGTCATGTTTATTTGTCATCGGCAGTCAAGGATGTGCGAAGCAAATGATGAGATTTTGCGCTTGCGCTCGCACGCGTGCTTTGCATACGAAACGGAGGCTTAGGTAACACCTTGCGTATACTCGTTTTCTTCATTTTGAATAATGCGGTATTTAAGCGCCTGTTTTTTTTATTGTTGCGGGAGATCTGTTCAATTATTCATTTATTTACTGCCTGACAAATTTTGCGGTTCTTTGTGTGTGCCTTGCCTTTTCATTAAATAATTATGCATGTTTGGGAATTTGATTTTGCACTAAAAAACCGGTTGTCGGTTCGAATTTAAAATGCATTTATCCAGTTGTCTGTTTTAAATATGCTAATTTGTACAAATATAACTGGCATTTTGAGGACTGCAATGCAATGCAATGCAACAGAGCTCAACTAATTTGCGTTTGGCCTGTAATGTGAAGCGTAAAGTGCAGTAAATTAGCTTTCAAGTACAACTTGATTTTGATTTCATGTGCCCATTTCTTAGTGTGTGTGTGTGTGTGTATGCTACGATTTCTATTATACTTGTAGGCTCAATAGCTGAAAATTGCTTAAAACGTTGCAAAAATATATATATATTTAGAGAAAGGTCAGACGAATTAAGGCGACTTACTTGTGTCACAGCTAAATCCTCAGACAGTCCGGCGTTGAATTTGCATAGTGGCGTGGGATAATTGAAACAAGATAGCAAGCTATGTATCTAAGACGATTTCATATCTGTGTAGCCCTGCTTCATATTATTTTAGTTGACCCAATTGTTATTTATTTCTTACATGTGACTAACCCTTTGTAAGAACACGCGATGAGTTTGGAAACGTTGAGACAATTGTTTCCATTGTTTATATTAATATTGCTGTTCTCTTGTGATACAAGTCGATTAGATGTAAATCTAAATTGATGATTTCCTAATGTTCGTTAAAACCAGATAGTCAGCACGTGAAAAAACATATTGTGCTTGTATTGCGATAAAAGATTGCAGAATCACTCCCTAATCCGGAAAAACTGGTAAAGGTTTATCTTACCAACTATTTAGAAAATTTGATAAAGAGATAACAGAAACTACATTTGAATTATCTCTTGCTGCTCATCAGGTATGATTAGAAAAATAATCTAGAGCTTACAATGTAACCACAAATAAAGAGTTTGTTCCTTACTGCATGAATACATTCAAAAGCCGCTTTGTGCAACAAGTTTGAATGAATACTGTTTACTTTGCGTCCCAAATCATTCAATTCCCTTGCACCTATTTAGAGTCTTCTCTAACCTGGGGAGGGATCAAAAACTAAAGCAAAGCACATATACTTGTATGTGCCTGACTTGGTCCACATCAGGACAGCATGGAGTAAGAAGCAGTTTTGTTAGGTGATTGAAGCAACATATTTATGGATTTATGTATGATATATTTTTATAAGCTTAAATCACAATAAATATAGGTATGTATTTAAGTACGAATACATACACAACTGCAAATATGTTCGATTTGTGTTGGTACCTCTTATTTGTTTCCCCAAATTGCTTTTGGTTTGCTTAAAAAAGGTCTTCATTCATTTTTAATAGAATAACCTTCAGTCTTTTATTATTTAATGACAGTGTGTTCAACGCTCGCTTATTAAAAAACTGAATAATCACCATTCTGTGGCTGACTTTCAGAAAAAGTTAATAAATAGAATGATAATCGATCGCTCTTCCATCGCAGACCATCGAATCTTAATGCCCATGCGCGTATGCAATAGTTTTTGTTCCCCAGCTGACAGGCATTGCTTACTTTTAGGAATGAGCTTGTGCTGTTATTTGCCCGTTTACCAGCACAGCCAATAGGTGGCGCAGACAACTATAACAATTGCTTTTGATTGGCCGCGCACATAAATCAATGCCTCATCAATTTAATCCGCTCGCATATAAATTATTAAGTTTCAGGTCAAGTTTGAGCAATTTCGCCATTTTCAATTGATTTAAATGCGTTAAGGGGAATCATAAAATTTTCCATGAGCACTGCGAACAGCTTTTATCTGGTTTGCTGTTGGTTGCAAATTGCAGTGCGCAGTTGGCGTTTGGTTCAAATTTCACGCATATGTGTATATACATATGTATATATCTGGTCATAACTTTAAATGGGCCGCAATGTATGTACAATAAATTGATTTAAATTTGCCCATCATTCAGCAGACGCGCTATTTTTGCGCATGTCAGCGAGATGTGTATATTTATACATTTTCGGCAATCAATTGCTGGCAATTTTGCGATGACGTCGTCGGCAGCTCAACCAAAACCGTCACTCGCGCTCCACACACGCACACACGTTTCAATTGGCTTATAATTGAGCTAGAGTCGCACGAGACTGGCACAGCCCGCAGCAGCCGCAGCAGCAGCTCGTGACGTTGAAAATGCACTGAGAGAAAATTCTACTATTGTAATCGTAAAACTATTCTCTTCTCTAAATTAGACAAATTTGCTTACAATTAACAAATTTTACAGCACCGTCAGCGCAACGCTATAACAAATACATAGTGTTGGTAGCAGAAAATATCGCTAACCCACAATAATGGATGTACAACAGAACACTGAAACATCAAATAATTTGGAAAGTGAAAATGTTCTAATGAAGATAATAAATTATATTCCAGATACTGCAATTGTTACCAATATTAAGTATTATGTTTCTATAGCAGTATTTTTCCAAGGAAATAATAGAAATCTGATGTTTAATATACAATTTTATTGACGCAGCTATTTCTGATTTGATCATGTACTGAGGATATACGAATAGTCTGGAATGTCTCATTTGTGCACGTACTACTGTTCTATTGAAGTGTTCTTGAATGTGTTTTTTATAAATGCAAAGATCTGCAATTTATATAAATACATATACTGAGTAACTACTTCCATGATTTTCTTACGTGCTTGCAGTTATTCTCATTTGATATTGAACTAAAAATATAACTATTGCGATTGAACAATTTTTAAGAAGTATTTAAATGATGATTTATATCTCAATAAAAAATAAAAATACAGTCGAGTTGAGAACCTCTTATTTTTAAAGTCGTGTATAAACAAGTGCATTGGTTGTATAATTTGGGAAATTAGTTCAAAATACTTGAAGATTCGAAGATCGAGAAAAATGTTTTGAAAATATTGGTAAATTTATAGAAAATATATATTTACGTTGTTTTAAAAATTCTCATGTTATTTCAACAATTTTTAATGTTTTTATTTGATTGCTCTATATATATGTTTATAATTTTTAAAGTAAGTGCTTTTTTGAGGAAATAGTTGGAAATACTTTAACAACCTAATGATGAATTTGCAAAAGTTATGCAATTGATAACTATAACAAAGCACCGTTACTATTTGATTGAAATTATCAGAGTAATCTGAAATTCAATTAATCAATTAAACCGTACACGTTTTCCGCAGTGTCTTTTTGCGCAGTTGTGTAAAAATGATGTGATTCGAGCAATTTTCAGCTTTTCGTTATCTAATGATATCGCCAATTAATTAGCGTATTATTTGGCTGTGCGTATGGGAAAATTTAGTCAGTTATCGCCATTGCTTTATCTATTTACTCGTATATTATTGAACACATTAATTGTATAACTGATTCATGGGGCAATTGTTATCTATATGAATGATGAATCGTGATGCTCGTGTGAGTTGGCCGGAAATGTCTGATGCATTTATGTCCAAAATGGGCATTATTTCTAGGCCGAACAAGTTTCCTTTTGGCCGCAAACGATTCGCTATGGCTGCCCACTATCAAAAGCGGAACTAAGCGGGTCTAACGGCCTCTCAATTGAAAATCAAACTAACGGAAAACACAAACACACACACAAACACATGCACAAATGCACTGCAGCGCACAAATACATATGAAAACTCTCTCTCGGATACGTGTGTGTGTTTGATAGTCGCTGCTTTTCCGCTGCTTGCCTCAAATCGGGGGTTTCACTCGCTCGTTTTAGTGCAAAGGTTGGCATTCTTGTTCTGTTTGTCAAACCGTGCGGTCGTTTGTCAGCAAGAAGTCTTGGATATTTAGCGATACATACACATACATACTATATATGCATATATTTAAATCTGAATCTCGAAAAGTTTGCCGTGCCGCAAGTTCTCAATAATAATTGCATTAGTAATATTGCATTGTATTATCTATCTGAAAAAATAAAACACGTGTCTCAGCATTTAAAAAAGTAATAAAATTTGATTTCAAAAATTTTATATATTTCTGTAACAAGTGTTTGGAAGTTTCTGGAAAACGTTACGCGTTCAGGCGCTCACGTTACATTACACAAGGTTGCGATTGTGGCAGAGTTGCTTTAAGGATATACTAGCGCCAGGATTTAACGCTGCCTCATTATGAGCTTTCACAAGAGCGACTCACGCACGCCCTTGGCGCCGCCTGAGTACACTGTAAGTACACAACCACTTCATTCTAATGCAATAATGCAATAATGCAATAATGCTATATGCTAATGGTTCATCTACTATATATGCTAAATTATTGCGGGGTTCATTGTGCTCTTCAGTTATAATTTAGTCAGCAGACTGTTACTCATAGATAGCAGCCGGTTGTTATGCAAACTCTTTAAGGTGTTAGACTGCTTGATCGATCATCGGACATTAACTGTCATTAGTTTGTTTGCATTTTGTTTGTAATTGTGATTCTTGGTTTGTGACAAATTAAGTCCAAAACTAAAGCCTATTTTCGGGGATGTTTTTGTTGTTGCTATTGTTGCAAGGCGTTATGAGTAACGCGTGCAAGGTTTCCACCCTCAAAAAAAAAAAAAAAAAGAAACACTCACCATTTGAACGCCTAGACACGTTTGTGTTGTTGCCTTTCTCTTTTTGTTGTTGTTGTTTTTTTTTTTTTTTGGTGGCAACGGAAAATTCCACTCGCCGCTTCCTTATGCACTTGTGGGTCTGCTTTGCCTTTTCTTATATACAAGTATATGTATGTATGTGTATGCATACATATATAATTTTAAGGGCATAGAAGTGATCGCCTATGGCCAGACCAGGTCTTTTATCTTACCTACTGTGTCAGCGACTCTCAGGGTTTTAGTTGAAGAATTTCTTATAAGCATGTATTCACATTTTGGCGCTTTTGTGCTCTTTGGCATAAAATTCTTTTGTCTTCTGTCCGCTCTTCTTGTCTCTTCCACTGTTCGTCGGCTTTTCGGCTCGTCGGTTCGGTACCCCTGCAAGAAGAATTAAATGCTGTGTCCAGCGTCTGGACTACTTGGCTACTGCTTCAGAGCCTTAGAAGCGCCGTATAGCGTTCAGATCGCGGCTCTTTTTTATACCCTATACCCGAAGGGTATCTTAGGTTTGGGAAAAGTAGGTTAAAAACAAACAAAAACACTGACCAAACTTGGTATATAGAATCTTCTAGTCCCTAGACAACAGGAGTTCAATTTATTTATTTGATTTTCCGTCCTCCCCCGCTATAGAATTTCATCAATACTCTTCATATTTCGAAACATACATAAACCAAATCACTTGTAATTAATATGTGATTCTCTACTTTGGTTTAAAATTGCATTAAAATCAATTCTTATGAAAGTTATGAGCGAAACAATTTCATTCCATTTATGCAGGGTATTTCACTGTCGGGCTTGCTCGACTGTAGCATTCTCTCTTGTTATATTTTGCCACAATTTGCTGCGTTGCAGTTTGTGGCCACAATTTGAACGCTGCTTGGTAATTTTCCATTAACTGCACTACTTGTGTGTACTCGTATGTTTGTATGTACGATCCGCACTCCAGTCCAATGCGCTCGTATGTAGTATCTGGTATGTATGTATGTATGTGTACCTGGGAGTATTGAGTATTACAGCATGTCTAATTTTCTAAATTCGAGCGCCCATGACTTAATTACTTCACTTGCCAGAGAGTTGTAATGGAGAGAGGCAGAGAGATAATGATACTTGCTTTTCAGCACGTGATTTTCTGAAACGCTGCACAAATATCACGGTTTGGGTTACTTTGCACTAAGTTCCAAAGGCGTTTTTATTATTTTAGTAGTATTTTAGGACAGAACTCTGATAGAATGTATATTGATTTGAATATAAATACTCGTCGATCAAGATACTTGTATACTTGTGAAATTCGGCAAGATTGTCTGCAAAATATTTATTATTATTATTACAATGAGTGTAAATAGATTAACAAATATCAATAAAATAAAGTTCACATAACATAAGCAAAATTTAAATAGTAAAAAGATAATGAAGTATAAATATTTCAATAGATATAAATCATTCAATCACGCAGCGGTCAAACGCTTGTTATTATCAAATCACGTTTTTCAATTCGATTTGTCAAAGCACTTGAATTTTTTCTTGTGACAATATTTTCTGAAAAAAAACATTCATTATTCTAGCTTTCATGATAAATAGCATTTCCTCCAAAAACTGAATGATGAAATATACCCACACTTTTGTAAGTAGATAGATGGAAGGAAATTGCTTAATGTACAACTCTTTAATGCGGTTGCCTATAAATATATCTATTTTTTGTACATTAATTGCTCATTAAAAATCAAATTTCATAAAAATAGTTCACATTATTGAATCAATATGATACAAAAATTTGTACAATTTTACTTTTTTAATTTGACTAAAATTAGGCTTTTTAGCATTTCTATTTATCAGCTGAATCTTATCTTAAAGACTGCGTAATAATTATTTATTATATTATTATCATATTTATAAGAAGTCTTTTCAAAATATTACAAAAGCATGTTCAATTCAATGAATTTTCCCTATTCTTTACTAGCATTCTTATCTTTCTCTAAAATTTAAAGATAAATTTACAACACATATGAGAATTTTAAAGTAAAACTTAGCAATGTGGATATAGTTATATATAGTATAAGAAAACTTATTATATAGAGCGGCAAATTTAATAGAGCTTGTTTCCGTTTTCAATATTGATATTAATTGCAAATTTATCGAATTGAATTCCATGTTCTTCGTGCTATATTTCTGAAACTAATTCATACATTTCGACAAAATTGATTGAAAATGAGAACAGATGTATCTGTAAGCCACTTTATTCGAAATGACATAAGAATTACATGTTAGGTAAGAGAATAATTTCACGTATATGTTAATTATAATACAATTGAAAAACTGCTCGGCAAAATGATGAATAATTGCAAACTAGAAACCGCAATCGCAGCTATTGCTCATTCGAAAGTCGAATTATGAGAAAATATAGCTGCAATTTCTATACCCTTCCCTATATGCTGGAGATGATATGATTTCAACATTTTAAACATTTTAGCCGGAACTCATAAACAGTTCTGTCCAATTCGGATTCCTTTTATATTACTTCTTTTTTTTGGGCTCAGTGCACTCGTGTCTGCTCTTGAACTCGCTCCCCTCCCCCCTGCACGAACTAATGAGTGGTGCATTGGTATTATGCCAACTTTGTCCGTCGTTCCCTACAGCTGTCAACAGGTAAGACAATATGCCTGCATTGTGCAGGGCTTGTATTGCACTCTACAATCAAAAGTGTTGTGCTGTCGCGGCCTGGGTGTCCATTACAATGGTCTCATTATTGCCAGACAAGCATTTGATGTTTTTACTGGCCAGTTCGGTGTAGAAAATTGGTTTCATTTTGCACACATAAATAAACATATTGGACTAGTTATTTATACACAAATTGGTTGCATGCGCCTCAATTTGTAGCGCACTCATGTAACACGCATGCTGCTCCAAATGGCTGGCTGACGCCAGAGTGTTTAGAGAATGGGCGCGTATATGGTTGCAAAGATAGCTTATCGGTCGAGATTGCGCCTAATGTAGTACTTCAAACAGTAAGGGGCGCTATGACGCCGCCACCTTCTATGAGTATGACGGGGTCGAACGAATTCCCGGCACTTTGTGACGAATCGCAAGCAGTCGTCAGACTCGTTGACCAAGATTTAATTGCAACTCAGACTATTTGCATATATCAGTTGACGGATTGCAGCCAATTTTCCGTCTAGTGAGTTAACTCTCGACCGCATGATGCTAAGTTTAGCCCACATTATGGCGATTTTAGCCCACAATACCCGTAACCGTATTTCTACTCACATGCATATGTCATTCCGTTTAGCCCGCATAAAAAAAAAACACAAAACTTTCCATTATAATGCGCAAAAAAAAATTGTTAGTTTTTTCGATTCCCAGTTGGCTTATGTAAGTTCCATGGCATGCACGTTTCGATTTTTTTTATTTGTGTATTGTTGTTATTGTTGCTGTTACTGTTACTGGTGTTTCAATATTTGAAGTGTGCGACTGTTTTGCCGTCGCCATCGACGTCGCAGCAATAGGAATGCACTTTGGCAGTTTTAATTAGAAAAACACATTCACACAGCCACATAAATATTTGTACCTGCTAAACGCTACATTTGTTTTTAACTTAGTCACTGCCTTAGAAAATTTCATCATTGTCACATGATCGTGATAATGATGGTGGAAAATTGACAATTCTACAATCTCTTCGACACAGCTCTTTAATCTCTCTTTTATTGTGGGAGCTTTTCGCCGATTACTATCAATTTACAGTACGCACTGCGAAAGGAATCCAATAAATAAAACAATTAAAAAGGAGCTCAAGGGACAAAAATAATAAATTTATCTTTGATTAATCGGTTGAAGTCCACTTAAAACACATTATTCTTACTATTTAAGTAAAGGATCAATCGAAACAAAACAGTGACAAAAGCCCTGAAAAATTATTTCATTTTTTCCTAATTTTTTATTTTACTTAATAATTTAAGAAATTGAGTGATTTCGTTACAGATTCCTATATAAGATGTAAATTACAATAAAGATATAGAATAATATTATGTTATAATTATGAACTTAAATAAAAAAGCCTCGCACTAAAAATAACTATACAATAATGTTGCTCCGATTTACAGCCATATGTGGTTAGAGACATTATGGACCTAAAAAAATTATATTATGTATTATATTTAAAAAAAAAGATTATACCTAAGAGCTTTTTAGATGAAGAAAGGAAAAACGAGACCAAAAATATTTTAATACATTTTTTTTTTCAAATATTGCAAAACGTTAGTTTCAGACTCGGCTTGACTGAACATTTCATTAATTTTAAGAAACCTATTTAAAAATCCGCTTCTGCGAAAAATTTACTTGGGAACTACAATCTTAAGTGTGGAAAAAACGCAAAGTCCAAGCCTTGTCGGATGTATTCACTTTGACTAATTTTGCTTAACAATTTTGTTTGGTAGACTTGGTTTTTCTCATAACCTAAACAATTAATTTTACAGTGTGGTTGCCAAAGTTGTTCAGTTATTTATAGCTATACTATATTACTGAGTTAACTTTAACTTTTAACTTTTATGAGTTCTATGTGTTACTTTATTGATCAGCATTCAGATCTGAGTTAATTTA